TATTATTATTATTATTATGTAATTTGCTAGTAAGATATTTAATGAGTGGTGCTAATGGCCATTTTTGGTGGGAAAAAAAGTAGGTTGCCATTTAGTGTTCATTTTTTTTTTACCTTAATCCTAGGTACCCTCGTACATCAGGGGTATACTTTTTGTCATATTTCATGGGTGCTTTATTCTAATAATTCTAATAATATTTTTTTACTTTGTCAATCAATTTGCTCCTCCTACTTTATTAAGGGCCACTGGATTCTTTAAATTATATTTAAACGTAATATTTAGTTTGGATCCTGATGGTCCACCACATTGTAAAACTGCAAAACATGTAATTGAACAATAGAAGTTTGATGTGTGAGATTTGGTCCATTACAAGAACTGTTCTGGGCATGCAGGCATTGGAGCTATGACATGGTCTCCACTGGCCTGTGGGATCATCTCAGGGAAGTATACCAGTGGGATCCCCCCTTACTCACGTGCTTCACTTAAGGTAACACTCCTTTTCCAATTATTCTGCCAGACAAAAAATACAATATTAGCAAGCAATTTTAACACTAGATATTGGCATTCAGGGTTGCGTACACTAATAGAATGCCTGTCTTGTAGGGTGTGCATCTCTCCAATAAAAGACATTCGATGCGTATCTCGATACATGGGGGGTTACGGAGAAAAAAACAGAAGCGATACATTTTAAAATGGGAACGATAAAAATAAAGATATACAGAGAAAGATTTCGAAAAGAAAATTTCCGATTCGATTTCCGGCAACATAGAGAGACACGAACAAACAAAGAGACAACACAGAAATACAAGGAAAGATATATCACAAAAAAAAAAGGAAATGCAATGGACAAATAGACATTGATAGATTGAAATTAGACAATCATTTCATAAATGATTAACTTGTAAATGTGGCATTTTCCTTCAAAATGATTTATCAAAGAACTAAGAAGATGTATTTGAAAATTTTGTCGTGTTATTAACATGTAAAGCAACACGTAAAGAGCCTCTCCGAACGTTAATTAAATTCAAAGAAACAACAGAGAGATATGTGTATGCTGAGTTGTGGGTGAGCTTTGCCTGAATAAGTCCTGTATTTCTGTTCGTGGTGTCTTTGTGCTATCTGTGCTAGCCTCCTCCTCACCTGTTTCCCCATGCCGTCTCACCAAAGTGAGTGTGGAGATTTGTCGTACTACTGGAGTACTTTTCGGTTTTACAGCTCTGTTGAATATAGCGAACGGCTTTATCCCAGTACTCCATTCTTCAATAATCGCGAATTTCTTCCACGCTTTAGAGCTTTAAACCTTGCGGAGCGTTGTAAATCCTGTCCCGGTCAGCCATTTTTTAAACTTTCCCTCACAAACTCACACGCGCTAATCTGACGTAACTGGACAGTTCGGCGAGAGTTTTTAAGGAGGAGCGAAGAGACGGTGCGAGAGAGAGTTGCAGTTTTCAGCAGCTGGCTGCTGCATGCAGCAGGCATACGACCCGAAACTTTCTTAATCGGGCCCATGCGGCCCCCCCGGTTCAAGCCCTACATTAAAGACCGATTTATTAGTCTGTGGTACCGATGCACTCGCATCTTTTAAATCAAAATCTATTTTCTGATTCAAATCAGTTTTTGTTACACCCCTACTGTCTTGCCTTTAGCCTGGAGCTCTGTATTCTGTTTTCTGCAACAGGGGTATCAGTGGATGAAGGACAAGATCCTGAGTGAGGAAGGGCACCGTCAGCAGGTGAAGCTAAAAGAGTTGCAGGCAGTTGCTGGGCGACTAGGCTGCACTCTGCCTCAACTGGCTATTGGTAAAACTGAACTGTAATTGCTCTGCCTTCACGTCCATCATGTCCTACATAGTTGTCCATGTTTTTTATTGGAATATCTGATGTCTCTGTCATGATAGCTGTATTAAAATTGCATACAAACACATACATATTATAGCGAATTTCATCCATGGTTGATTTTGTGTTCCATTTCTATAATGCCGTATTTTATTCCCTATGTATTGTGTAAAGAGTGAGAAATCCCTATCAGCCATTCATGAAACATGCAAGCCATGACTTCACTCTTTGCCTTCACACAACAATGGCTGCATCACCTATTCTTCCTGTGTTTTTAATTCCCACAGCATGGTGCCTGAGGAATGAAGGGGTGAACTCTGTCTTGCTGGGAGCTTCCAGAACTGAGCAGCTGATGGAGAATATCAGAGCAATACAGGTCAGAAAACATACAAGCAGCCTGTATAACCACTTTAATTGTTCATGAACCACAGCCAAGACTCAACAGTACCAAACTGACTTGGGTCAGTATTTGGATTGCTTTAGGTCACAAAATAAGTATGGATGTTGTCTCTGTGGCGTCACCCGTAGGTTTTTTGAAAAGCCATTGTGAAGCTCAGTGTGGTGGCTTTGGCTCTGCCTCTAATATTAGGCTGGCAAGTAAAAGCCTGGTGCTCTCTGTAGTTGAAATAAATTAATAGTTTGAGAAATTACACTTATTCTCCACAGGTTCTTCCGAAGTTATCGATGTCCATTGTATCAGAGCTGGATAACCTCTTGGGAAACAAGCCCTATAGTAAAAAGGACTACAGATCGTAGAAGCACCAGCGATGAACTGTCCCTTTATCCTGTTTTTGAAAAAGATGCCTATGAAATGGAATCTCTTTCAAAAAGACATAAGCCCAAAAATGTGCCATTTCTCATTTCTACTGTCTTGATCACATTTTCACTTAATGCAACTTAATGATATTAAGTTTTACAGCATGCAATACTTATCCTAGTAGTTTGAACATCACCTTCAATAAAGAGACAAACAAAAACAAAATGAAACACTTTGTGCTAATCAGCTGAGCCACTGAGGCACTAAAGAAACAAGCTAACTGTTGAGTAAGGTGCAGCTTAGTGTGCCGGACCAGGCTTCTTCACTGACTACAGATTGTGGCTTCAGCATGTCGTAGACATATGCATTGGTGCTACTTTATTATGACTGCCATTCTCCATTCTCCATAACCTTCCTATTGGGGGACGACCCGCTCTGCCTCTGAGCCACAGCCGTCCTGATTGGCTTCCCCAAGGGCCATCACATTATGCTTACTTCTTCGACTCCACACTGTCTTTTAGTGGCTGTAGCAGGCTCCGCTTTAATGCTAAAGTGAAGACACTGGTATCATATGAATCTAGATTATCTAAAGCATGTCTCCCCTTTACAGACATGGACACTTTATGCTAATCCCTTGCAGATTTTGGGCAAAAAACATGTATAATAAGTTATTTTTCATATTGTCATAAATGCAACTGCTTGGACCCACCATCAAACCGCCTGGCTTCCAGGCTGACCATTCCCTAGAGCTGACAGCAGTACACTGGTTGGACAGGAGGTGGCTCTGGAAATTACTAAGTATCTCTATTAGAATCAGGAATTATTTTGTTGAGATAAAGACTCATTCATTGTGAGTTTAACTGTCGCTTTTGTATGGAGAACTGACTGTATAATACACTGTGGTGGACTGTTTTTTTTGTGTGTATTACTCTCACTGCCAGCGGGGACGATATAAGTCCTGCTTGTTAATACTGGTGTTAGTTTTAGTAGAGTCATTTTCCAAAGACTTTAATTATTTATTATATTCATTACAGTTTGGATGTTTGATTATGATTGCATTAATATAGTCATGTTTTCGTCGATGCATGTTTGATTTTCTGTCAAGTAATTTTGTTAAACTTTGACCTTTTGTCAAACACTCTGTAGTAATGCCTGAAGTTTGTCCTTAGGCAGTTACAAGAATATTGTTATACCCTATATCCTATGAATTAAAAAAAATAAATCATATAGACTTCAAGTGAAGTATGCCTGTGTTTTTAAATGGTAAATGGACCTGTACTTGTATAGCACCTTTCTAGTCTTACGACCACT